GTGGGGAAAGGGAGAGAATAGGAGAATGCGAGAATTTGTTCCTGTTTCTCGATTATCGTTTCATGCTATCCCTTTCTACCCGTTGTTTTGTCGTCTCTGTCTTCGCATTCAGGCCAGGATGTCAGCGGCAAATGCAACTGCAACTGCTGACATTCCCATTGTCCTGGAGACCTGAAAAGATATAGTCAGAGAAATAGGAACAGACTAGGGCGAAGGGAGATACAGAAAAAAGAGAGACAGAGAAATAGGAAGAGAAAGAGAGGGAGTGTGAGTGTGTCAGAAAATGCTAAGGACATTTTGTTATTTACTTATTGCATTCATTTAGCTTGAAGATGTCCACCCAGTGTCTCCTCTTTGTAGTACAGAGGGAATATAATTATGAAATTTAAATATTAAATATTTGTTATTACTTAATTTTGAAAATGTATTGATCTTTTATTTATATATTAAATATAAAGAAATATTCAAATTAGTTTTATTTGATTTTAAAGAACACGAACGAACCAAATACAAAACCATTGCCTACTTTTTAGGGCTCCTTTGCTTTAAAATCCCTTTTAGTTACTTTAATCTCAGTAAATTCTTAAGGCTCACCTAAGATTTAAAATGCAAATCAGTATTGAATTTATTTTATATTTTTAATATTTAAAAATTCCACAAATTTGTTCCCTGTGCATGCGTCTTTTGCACATTTTTAATCTGTCTGCCTTTTGTATTGCACTTAACTTGGCTTGCAGTCTTGGCCCGCTGCACACCTCTCCTCTCCCCTCCTCCTCCTCCTCCCCTAGGTTTGCAGAGAATGCCTTATAGCCCCTTAGAATTTAGCCAGGAACAATGGGCCTCACATAATGGGGCAAATTGAATTTGAATTGCTTGGTTGGCTTGGTTAACATCCTAAGCGCACTCACACACTTAGCGAGAGAGAGAGAGGGAGGGATAGCTAGAGGGGCGCCGAAAGAGACAGAACGAAACGTGTGCAGGCCAGGCCACATTTCAGATTCTCAATAATGCTTATTGTCAGGGAATTGAATGCGAAAACAATGCCCTGTCCCAGTGAGTTCTCTTCACCCAGTATCGTCCTGCCATTGTGCGTGGCTCGGTAAATATTATTCTTCTTTAAAAAATTGTCGAATGCCCAAGGCAAGAATTATTTCTCTATAAGAATAAGAATAGAAAATTGTAAAAATAGAAGAAGGTTATGACAAGCACAAACCATTTGTCCCAAACAAGATAAATGAGAAAAAATTAGAGGCACTGTAGATGGCTCCTAGAAATCAATTGAAGTCGAGTAGAGAATCAACAGCGTATTATTTTTCCCCCGACCAATTTTCTAAGACTCTTTTGTGCGTTGTGGCAAAATGACAAAGGAGCAATTATGAGGAGCACCCAAGGATGCACAAGAGGAATACTTAAGACTGAGATTTTAAGGAGCAGAAAGTGCTGAGAAATCAGACTGATTGTAATGCAATTCCTTACGAAACCGTGATTAACAATTCGCAAGGTGTCCCTCGCTATTGAGAGATCAATACGTGAAGGCATACTATATAACATATATATTCCAGGTAAATATCCAGTGATGAGAACAATGCCAGATGGGATTTTTCCGAGGGTGTGAGGCCACACAATGTGTGTACAATTGGCATTGGAAACGGTAAATGAATTAAGGGGTTTGAAAATGTAATTGAAAAGTTAAGTGGGGGAAAGTAAAAATACAATACAACATGTTGTATTCCGGGAAAGAGTTTTCTATAATTAAATGAAATCTTATTTTGAGCCTTTGATAACTCAGAAATTTATTTATATACAAGAGAAGCTTCTTGTAGTTTCAAATATCAAACTAAAGTAAGTCCTTTTTAGGGTTCCCTTTTATAATTATTTTGATTAGAAGAACTTAATCTTAACCTTTTCTTTTTTTTTAAAAAACATACAATTTTCTGTATATCATAACTTATACCTTAAAAACGCTCAACAATCTTCTCTTTAAAATCCCTTTTTAAAAAGAGCCACCGGAAATCCTTCTTTTCCCTGTGCCACAAGATGAATCTTGCACTATTAATCTCCCTTGACTTGACCTCAGGCCTGTAGCCACAGGATACCTTTTCAATCCCATTAAAGTGTAATTCATTTAGGCCGGCACAAAACCTCCTCAATGGGTTAATCTCATCCGAATGCAATCTCCTGCTTAACATATGTATGCACAGACCGCAGAGGCAGCCTCCTGAATCCAAAATCCAAAATCTAGCAAATAGAAAACCGAAACACAGTGCCAGGGAGCCTTGACATGCACCATATATATCCGTGGCTGGCTGTCATGGCCGATTGAGCAAACAGCTAAACCGAAATGCTAATCCTTTTCCCATTTTTTTTTGTTTCCTGGTTGTCGTTGGAAGTCCTGCATTTGTGCAGCTGTTGCTACGAGAATTACTTTTTCCTTCTTTTTTATTTGAAACGAACAAAATCCACTGATCCACTTTGCGTACAGTAGCAGCCGCCTCCGTTGTTTTGACAAAATGTTTTTGTCGAGTGCCATTGACTTTGGTGGTAGGTAGCAGGAGCCGGTGGAAGGACTGCAATTTGCAGCGGCAGGACACCGCGTGTACACCTTGCCTGGCAAATGATGATGACAACTTCCGCTGCTGGCTTAAACCCTCCTCAGTGCCAGTGTACCCTAGCACATATTTTAATTTTCGAAACAATTCAGCAAAACAAAATACGAGAAAATCAGTGGAGAGACTGAGAGTTTGTCCCGGCCACGTTAAGAGGATTATGTCCTGTCGGAATGCGAATGTGAATGCCGGCAGATCGCAATTTTTATGAATATGGAAAAGCCGCTTTAGACAGCAGAGGAAATAATAACAAACTAACCAACTTCAAACATGATGAAAAAAAATACATGGCAGAGGTTGGGTTGGAAAATGTTATTAGAGCTGAGAAATGATTACATAACCAAAACCCAATTTGAAAAGAAATTGTTTCAGGGGGAAAAAACTCTGACCGAAATAAAGCTTAACTCATTTTGTGGCAGGGAAAATCAAAGGAAAGTTGTAAGAGTTACAGATAAAGGAAAATGGTTGAGGAAATAAGTACTGAGCTACGAATATAGTAATTATTTTAGTTTACATAGTAGAAAGCTATGTTTTAGGGGTTTAAAATATTGCTATTTTAAATTTATTTGAAAGAATATATGAGCAGTGATTTATTTAGTTATTTGAAGCTAACAATTAGTTTTAAACTAAGAACTAACATAGGTAACGAGTCCTAGCTCCTTTGTCCCTTAGCTCTCAGAGAAGTGTTATTATATCATATCTAATTCTAACTCTTCTTCAAGCTGAAAAATTCCATTAAATTCCTTATTTAGTCAACAATATCTTGTACCATACATTCTTAGCATCCATTTTCCCATATGAATATTTAACCAAAACATCTTCCATTATTTCCCCCCCAAAAATGGAATGCAATATCCAAAAGTTGTAGTATTCCCCCTGCATTAATTAGTTTCGCTCTTTGCCAATTTGTCACACAGCCCTGATGTCAATGCTCTTGAAAATGTCTGGAGATCTGTGAAGCTCCACCCATTCTCCTCCCAGTTTTCGGAAGTCTTAAAGTCTTAGCTGGAGGGACTTTAAGTTTTGGCGCCCATAAATATGCCATAAAACTATTTGAACGGTCGACTAGATAAAGGGGAAGGCGGACGGACAGTCGTCGTCGTCGAGCAAGTGTAACAAACAACCACCAGACCCTGGGACTGACTTCTGGGAGATACTTACTCCTCCCTCTAGCCCCGACCCATAACAAAGTTAATAATAATAAAGCCGGAGCTGGAAAAGTCAGGGGCACGCCCCAGACAAAGTCGCCCGCCAAATACGATTACAATTTGTTACACTTACGCAGCACAAAAGTCTTTGAGCAACCCCGGGTATCCATCTCCTTATTGTAGAGAGAAGATGGGACGCCAAACAGTCGCCAGTTGTTTCGTCTTTCGTCTTGCGGTTATACAAAATCTCCAGACTGGCATCAGGAGCTGAGAAAACTAGAGACCATCATCAGTGGCAACCTGACCAAAGAAATGCCCAAAACGAATGTCCGCATAAATCAGAGCATAGTTTGGGAAAATAGCAGCGAAAAAGGGGGAAACACCAGCAGCCCAAGGGGATGTTTTCTCTCTAATCAAAATCAAAGGAAAAGTGGGGACCAGAGCTACACTGAGGGAAATAATTGGGTATGAAATACGAAGAAATTTGCTGAAAAGTTGGTCTAAAGAGAGACTTTGTAAAGGTTAAAATATAACTTAAAGAAAGGTTTTCTTAGTTGGAAATAATAAACGGTTCAACTTTAATTAAATTACATTAATTTACCAACTATTTTTCACATTTTTTTGTTGTGTAAACATATATCCAAGAGCAGAGGGTTAAATCTCCAAATAGGCCAAAGGGGAAACACACTCCCCAAGAGATGCACACACACTCGCTCGCAACGATCAGCCGATGCCAATTAATTTATCAAAGTCAGTGCAGTTGCAAGGAGATGGAGGCAGAAGCATCTTCCAGACAAGGAGTAGGAGAAGTCTCTTCAAGACAAGGCCACTGGGAATTAAAAAGACAATGGAACGATCCCCATTCATTGTTAGTTATTAATACAACACACACTTTACCAATGATCATCGGGGGAATCGATTCCGGAAGCGGCTGCAGTTGCTCTCAACATTTCTATTCTTTTTCTTTCCTTTCTCTTGGATCTCCCTCAGGTAAACCCTCGCCTGACTTTTATTAATTACAACTAGATTTTTATTTATAACCAACAAATTGTTGACAATTTATCAAATTGACTTCGGGTTATATACATTTTATATAGACAAATAATTATCATCGATGTTCTCAGAGACGATCGCTATATTTGAGCTTCTGCCAGCCAGCCCTTTGACGCTTCAGTTCTCGATAGCTATTGGGCAGGCCATAGAAAAAGTATATGGAAAGTCCTATATAGATGTATATATAGAGAATCAATTAGTTTGTGTTTTTAGATATATCTTAAGCTTTAGTTTTGATGACTATAATACCGTTTTATTAAATACTTTTTCGACTAGCTTTGAGTTAGCTAAGCATGCATATTAATTAGAGGTGGATTGTGAAAGGTTATAGATTAATAGGAATTAGTTTTATATTTAATTATACTCTTCAAATTATCTGAATTTTATAAACTCTTCTATAATCCTTAGCAAAGATTATAGATTTAGTTTTCTTAAATTTATGGCTTTAAAGTTTTAGGGTTGAAAAACAGATTTACAAGTGATTTATGTTACATTTTCTAGTCTACGAATTTAATTACTTTTAAAGAAGTTGCTTGTTATATAATATTTATATTAAGAAACTATATGTTTATATATAGATCAGCAATTTTTCTCTCCCAACTTTAGGTTTAAGCATTTTCTTGTTGGCTAAACATTTTCGTACAGAATTAAATGCTCTTTCTTTCCCCCCATCAAACTATCTAGAGATATCCTATTCTTTTCCTAAACTCCCCCCTCTCACAATCCACCTGTTTTTCTTATCAACTAAAAATTGCTTGCATTCCTTACTTAACTAACTAGTGACTACTACTAGTAACTACAGCTATGCTGGATATGTACAAAACAAGCTGCATTTGCATTCCGATTCGCATGCAGCACGACTCGACTACTACTTTTAACTGGTGGGCTGCGGGGGAGGTGGTAGGAAAATGGTACCCTCTTTGGTTTCACCAGGAGAACACACACGCCCCTCAGCTTTCCACCTGCTCCACCTCCAGGTAGGTGGACTGCGGACGATGGCGACGCACCAAGTCCGGATGTTGTTGAGTTCGGTGCGAGGGACCACGCTGCAATATGGCCTCCAATTTCGCTTTGAATGGCAATGGCTCCGAGTCCGGTTGCTGGCCAGGATCCGGACTCGTTACCGTCTCCGTCTCCAGCCGCGATTCCGGTGGCACCATTGCCGGGTTCTTGGCATCCACGATATGTTGCTGCTGCTGATGCTGACTCAAACTGGGTCGCTGTTTGCGCAAACTAATGCTGTTGATGGTCTTGTACAGCACCGGATCGAATTTCGGTGGACGCGGTATGTTGCCGGCACTCGCAATTGCAACAGCACCTGCACCTGTACCTGAACCTGCAACTGGAGCAACTGGAGCAGGTGGTACTGGGGATTTGAAGGGGCTTTCAGTGAGGACCTCATCAACATTACCAGCCTCATTATGGTCGATTTTCAGTTCGCTGATGGCCTTCAGCATTAAGCGACGCACATCGGTTTCGCTTTTCGATTGCTTTAGCTGCGGCCTTGCCTTTGGCTCATCATCATCATCATAGTCGTCCTGCTCCAGATTTTCCTCTCCATACTCCTCGTTGTTCCTCTTTACCGGCCCCTTCATCTTGTGGACATTGCCATTCATAATGATGTGACTTAGGCGGTCTTTAAACTTGGCCGAATGCAGGGGATCCTCAATTTCAGAGGCCTGCGATTTTAGGGATGTCTGAGAGGGCATACGTTGCAGGGTAGGTCTAAGCTGCATTAGGGGTTGTGGTTCTGGAGACTGTGGAAAATTCTCATTTAATTGATCCCCTCCTGCTTTAACCCTTTCAAGCTGCTCATAGAAAGCCTCGCTATTGAAGAGCTCCTCAAGCATTTGCTGGGCCACCAATTTGCACTCCTCGTATCTTCTATTCCTGCCCAGGGAAATCCCATCCTGAGTCTCATCATCATCGCTGCTGCTGCTGTGAACGGTGGCCACAATTACTGTTTCAATAACACTTGGATACATCTCCGAGTCCAGACTGAAATGACGCTCAAATATGAGTTGCTGTTCCAGCTCCTGTTGACTTTGTTGAATGTCCTCGGCATCGAGGACATCGTCCAGCATGGCAATAACTGATTGCTCATCATCCCGCGATGGGGATTCATTTCCCAAAGTTGCAGTGGAATTTTCACTCTTGGTATCTTCCACATAAAACAGTTTCCCATTGGCATGCTTCACTTCAATCAAATCCTCGCCAACATCACTTAGATTCTGGATTTGATCCAAACTGCTGCTGGGACTCTTCTTCAGTTGAGTTTCCACAGTCAATATACTCTCTTTGGACAAACAATTGTGCTCCTTGTTTAGGTCATCATCCAATCCCTTCAGCGCCTTGTAAAAGGCCAATCTCTCGGGATTCCTCTTCTGGGGATTCTTGCAATCGTAAAGATACCAGCATGCAAGGAATATGGGTATGCCTAGGACATTTAAGTTAGTACAAAAGTGCAACATGCATTAATTTCTACTACATGCAGTGAGATTTTGAAGATAAAATCAACTCACCCACAATCATCCAGACTCCAAAACGAATCCAAGTCCAACTATCCAGCTGAAGCATTAAATAAATATTGATAAAGATACTAATGGCAGGCACAATGGGAACAAAGGGTACTCTGAATAAGCGACTACGAGCTTCTCTGGGCTGCAGACAAATCAGCAGGATAACCAGGACAATGAGCAGGATTAATACCACAAGAAGAGTTAGGGCCCAAGGTTCCTGAGAGGCAATTGAAGGATGAGCCTGCATTATTAGAACACCCAGACCCAGGGAAAGGAGACCTGAAATTAAGAATATTTTATAAATATATTCTCTTAAGAGTTATTTGTTCATTACTCACAAAATATGGTAGCCAAGACTCCCACAATCCTGTAGGATATAGCATTTGGTTCCGATAATCGATGGACATTGAAGAGTTGTGTGCAAAACGAACCGCAAGTAAATCGCTCACTTCTGGAGGTCAACGAAGTTGTCTCCGAGGCTCGACTTTCTTGCCTCTGTCCCGAACTTTCCTCCATTTCACAATAATCCATATATCGTAGTAACATAATGGATATAGCCACCACACTGTAGGCCAACAATGTTCCAATTGAAAGCAAACTAACTAATTGGGCCAAATCAAAGAGCCCTGCTATCACGGCCGTGAAAAGTGCTGCTATAATGGATCCTGTGACCGGAACTCGGAATCTGGGACTCACTTTGCCCAGAAACCGGAACAAGAGTCCATCCTGGGCCATGGAGTACATCACTCGGGGGAGGGGAAAGAGAGCTCCAAATAGACTGGCCAGCAGACCCACTAATCCTCCAATAGTCACAATCCACATGGCCACTGGCCAACCCACATATTCGAAGGCATATGGCAATGGTGCATTGGCATCTTGAAGATAGTAGGGCAACATCAAGGTCAGCACAGTGGACACTCCAAAATAGCACAAAAAGATGATTAGCAGGGACAGAAGTATAGATTGGGGTATATTCTTGCGAGGATTTCGAACCTCTTCCCCCGTAGTGGCAATGCAATCGAAGCCAACGAAACCAAAAAAGCAGGTAGCAGCTCCCTGGAGAGTTCCTTCGAAACCATAGGGAAAGTAACCACCTGAACCAATGGTATAATTGGCAGTAACATTGCTCGGTTCCACTGTCCAGTTGGAGAAGTCAGCTACGAATAGAAATATTTTATAATTAATTTCATAGAATATTATATATTTTATTTTCCATACCCTTAATGGCGCCAGCAATTATGACAAATCCCAGTATAAAGATGTTAAGACAAGTGACAAAGTTATTAGCCATTGTAGAGGTCTCCACTCCAAAGGCCAAGGCCACTGAAAATTGTACACAAATTTATAAATTATTTAAATAACATTCTAAAGAATTTATTTCATACGTACCTCCAAAAACAACAACTAATCCAAAGGCGAGAAAATCAAAGTAGCTCCCCAAAAAGCTGACATTCATGGGTGCCACTTCCGCAAATGTGGTTTTTAGGGTATCATTCAAAAGGGAATCCAGATACAAACTAATGCCCCTACAAACACTTGCTGTTCCAATTATATATTCCAATATGAGATTCCATCCAATGACAAAGGCCACAAATTCACCAATGCAGACATAACTATAGATATAAGCGGAACCCGCTTTGGGAACTCTGGCTCCAAATTCAGCATAACAAACGCCTGAAATAAAGGAATTTCATTAATTTAAAAAGTAAATAAAGTATATATTTAATTGTATAAAATACTTACCCGCTAGAAGCGAGGCCAAAGCTGCAATGGCAAATGATATCATTACCGAGGGACCCGCTTGATCCTTGGCAATCTGTCCAGCCAGCACATAGACCCCTGCCCCCAAGGTCGATCCCACTCCCAGGGCCGTGAGATCCCAAAGACCCAACACTCGATTCAATTTCGTTTCTCCCTCAGTGCCATCGGCTTGGAGATGTTTACGCCGGGTGAGAACCTTCCAGGGTGAAACTTGGCGCACCATATCTGCGTTATTACTCTCCTCGGAATTCACGGGGGCAGTTCAGTAAACCCTGCTTGAGATTCTGGAAAAAGAAAAGAATCAATTTGCAAATGCCCATAGTCCAGGTTTAGTCAAGATCATTGATGCCACTTTGGATTTACGTATTTTCCAAGAGGGCTTATCTTTGTGACAACGATTGTATAATGCAAATAATTGAGCTCAAATTGTAATCGTAAATGGCGAGGCTATTGTCAGTTGTGAGTTTGAACTCGATTGTTCCACTTAGAATTGGGTGTATATATAGGTAATCTATCTACATTTATGGGGAATGCTATATATATTATATGAGTGGGTGTTTTTCGGGTCTTTACAAGTTGTAATGCAAAGGTTTTTGTAATGAATTTTCTTGGGGAAATTGGGTTAAAACCATAATATTAATTATTTTGACTATGAAATGAAGATAAATAAATAAAGATAAATCATAAAATACAATCATTTGATTACAATTTATAATAACAATAAAAGCTTCAATTTTTAGTGTACAAATCTAGTCACAAAATCTCAAAAACTTCTTATTTGTTTTACATTTTTTCTAGTCACGAAATCTCAAAAACTTCTTCTTTGTTTTACATTTTAATGATGAAATAACTTGACTTAATAAATTTAATTACACATATACATAGGTTACTGAAGAAGAAGTGCTATGACTTAATCTGATTAATCTTTTCCCCCTCTCATAAATAATTAATTACACTATTTATTTTTCCTCCAAACAGGTGACTAACCATATACACCCACACCTTTTTTTTTCGTAGAAAAAGAAAAGCAATACTTCTCACAGACTTTGATAAGAATCAGATGCTCAAGTTCTTTTCCTCACTTTGTTTGCTTTTCTATTATTATAACTTTATAACTGGCTTTACTTTCCGCTTAATTAAGATAAATAAATGGGTCTAGGTGAGGTCTGTCGAATGAAAACTTATGCTACATTTATATAATTAAGGTAAACTTCACTCACCACCAGCTGGAAAACTGTTTTTTCAGGCTTTCTTCTGTCTCTCTCTCACTCTCTGTTGCAGTTGTTGGAGGCAATGCAAATATTTTCTCCTCGCCTTTTGTTTCCGTTTCTTATTAATGAATTTGTAAGTCTATTATTAATTACCGTTCACACAAGACAATTGAAATAAAATGGACAAGAAATGTGTGACTGACATACTTGGCGATCTCGGAGCGTCTGCAGGTTGTCGGTGTCGTATTACAGCCGCGAAATCGGTTGCTTATTCTTATTCAGATAAGACCAACAGTCCAGGGAGCAGAACTCTTACCGCCTCCTCTATCTGATGAGAGTTAGTATCAGCCATTGGAGAGAGGAGAGCGGAGAACGGAGAGCGGGGAACTGGGAGAGAAAAATAACGAGGCTTAAATAATGCACGAATAATAATAATAAATTGAATTCAAACTTTTTGAGAGGAGTTTTCCTTTTTAATTAATTTAATTATTAAACTTTTAAATAATTATTTCAAATAAATTAAAGGTTTTTAAATATTTTAAGTATAGATCTTAAAATATTAAATTTGAAATATTTATTATTTCACAGTGTGCCATACTTTTCATTATTTATTAAATCAATCCTTTTATTCCATAATTTCCCAACATTTATTTATTATTATTTTTTCTTATTATTATTTTATTATTTCTTTATTATTATTATTTATTTTTTGATTTATTTATTTATAATTTGTTTTTACTAGTTATTTGTTTTAACTATTTTTATTTTATTTATTATTATCCTTTAATAATTTACTTATTGATTCACTCTTTTTATTTAACTCATTGTCTCATAATATTTGATTCATTTATTTACTTTTATTAATTATTTATTATATTTACCACTCTTTAAATCACAAAAGTCACTCATTAATTTCTTTCACTGCACACACACGAAACACAACTGATAAGAAACGAAGACGAATCCCGTTCGGATCGGTTGGATTTACTAGAGATAAGGCGGGAGTAAGGGGAGGAGAGAGGAGGGTTTCTCTAGATGATCTGAGTTGTAATTAGAGCGAATACGAAACAAAATAAAGAGAAGAGAAAAATTAGCAGGTAAGAGAGTGGGAGGGGTGCAAAAGGGAGAGGGATGAGGAAGAGGCTGAATCACACTCTGTGACGTCGCATTTTGCTGCTGAATTTTTTTTCGATGTTGCTGCTGCTGCTGTGCGTTCGTTGTTGTTTTCCGACTTTCGGTTTTATGATCTTTGCGATAAGGAAACAACAGATTTTTCTAGTTTTTTTTCCGACTTTTTTTTACAAGCAATTCCAGAATTCTGTTATTTATGTTGTTTCTGATAAGACACTCTCTGTTTGTATTCACGTTTTTACTTCATTTCCGATCTGCCGTTTTTTTTTTTTTGGCTTTAGATTTGAACGTTCGCATTTTTCCTAGCGCTTTTCGCTATCTCGCTTACACTGGCTCTAGTATTCTCTATCTCTGTCGCACTGGCAGCACAAGCTCGGTTGTTGACGGTTTCGGTGTATAACGTTAACTGAAAGTGTAAGATAATATTTTGCTCGCTATATAGAAGAGAGAGCGTTGCGGCAAACTGGCCCGATTATATAGCGGAATGCAGTAACAATAATATCACACCAACAAAAACACACACAATTATAAATGCTGCTGCTGCTCGTCTTCTTCTTATTATTGTTTTTGTTCTAATATTGTTCTCAGTGTTTTTTAGGTTCTGTTTGTTGTTGTTGCTTTTATTTATTGTAGTTAGCTGTTGGGTGTCAATTTGTAGATTTTTATGAAGTGGTTAAGTCGGTTGATAAGCTACGATGCGCTTTTATGTGAAAGCAGAATCGAAATGGAATTTGAATAAGTAAAATATATATGTTAAAAAAACTTTAAAATATATATTCAACAAAATTTTAAATATCAGAAACAGAAGACAAACAAATAAAATAATAAGCTTTTAATGAGGAAATAATACTATTAATAAACAGGAAATAATTTAACTAACTTGTGATTGTTTTACACATCTAATACAGATTATAGAACACCAAAACTTTGCTATAAGCTATGTAATTATATTACTTAAAATAAATTCATAAATAAAATAATAATTTAAATAAAATAAAATAATAATTTTTAATAAGGAAATAATCGTATTACTAACTTTGAATGTTTTCTATATTTTATAAAGTTTATAGAATTCAAAATTGACTAAGATATTTTCTTATATACATTTATAGAGCACATGAACTTGTCTAAAAACGTTATATATATTTTATTCATTTAAACTGTATTAAACTTAAATTCCAAAACTGAATTCTAATTTAAATTGCATTTAATTTAAAGTCTCCTTTAGTATATAAACTCTATCTGTCTCAAAAAATATACAAATAACAGAATAAGCAAATAATAAAGAAATTAAATAATAATTAACTTATAATTGTTTTCGGTTATAAACATATGAACATAAACTTGTTTAAAAACTGTGTATATATTTTCCTAAACTGTAATATAAAGCTTCCTTGAACAGTTTAATATTAACTATAAAATACAAAACAATAAACCTCCTCTGGTACTATATAAACCCTATCTCACTGTAATCTACAATTACGTAAACTCTTGCCATATAAGAAGGTGAATGAATGGCTTTATTTCATAAATAATGATATGATTTCCTGATACCGAGATAAGAACGATTAAACAAATCTGTTTAGATTGCATTGTTTCAGGTGTAAAAGGTTTTCGTTATAAATGTGCTTGATTAATCAAGATATTAATCAGATATTACACCAAGCATTCCATAAATTTTTCTTTTGTAAATTTCATATTTGCAATGAAAACTGTTTGGCATTATATTCAATTCGTAAAAGTCAAGCATTACCAGCTATAATTATCTATAAACTGATTAGGAAAGCTATTAAACCAAACCCAAATTTTATTGAATGCGTCACGTGTGGAATTATTCATTCGTTTATAGTGGTAATTCAAGATTATAAATGTGTACTTTTGACTTGAACATTTTATTGGGGTTTTAATATAGAAATTAAGTGTGGGATTTGATTATTGAATTCACTAATAGAAGTAAAAAAAAAATAGGCTTTAAATAGTATATTTACAATTTTCACTCTACAGAATTATTTACAGAATTTATAGAATTAATACTTCCAATAAAAAAATAAAATATAAAATGGTTAGCATTCAAAATAAATGTTAGACAAAACCTTTGATGTATTAATATGATATATGCTTAAAGTTAAAATTTAATTATATTTAAAAACACTTTTATAAGACATTATTTTGGACAAATCAAGTTTTAAAAAACTCATAACTAAGTCAAAAAAGCATTAATTTTAATTCGGAAAGCTTTTCTATGATAGTTTTGATTAGGCTATTAAATAATTCATTTGATATTTGATTAAAATGTTGGAATTTTTTTGAAAATTTTAACGACGTAACCCCTAAAAAATTTGGAAACAATTTTTGAAACTTATTTTTTGACTGGACATATCTAGATCGACTTGCTGTTGATTTTAATCAATAATATGCTTTATACGGTCAGAAATGACTCCTTCACTAAGTTACAAGGTTCTGACTAAAACTAAAATACCCTTTCAAGGGTATAATAAGGTTTAGAAAACTCATCGATTTAGATCCGTTTTATATTTTGTCTTTATCTGAATGACTTTCCCGGAAAATTGCTACATAGAGGTAAAATCGACCTATTCAGCCACAAAACAAATAAATGCTGATAAGATACTCAAAATGCTCTTCACATTTCCATCGATGGTGTGAGGGTGAAAAATCACAACAATGCCACAGAGAATGTTTGCTAGGGGTATTAAAATTTTACTGCACCTACTTGATGCCAGCAGACGAGCACATATATAGGTACATATAATGGCAGGAGCAGGACTAGGAACAGGACTAGAAACAGGACCTAGAACCGACTTCATCACATGTGCGGGAAAGTTGTGGAGCGTGTGGCAAATTGGCCTTTGCGGCTGGCTTGTTGTCTGCCCCGCCTGGCGGCAAATATAAATGATCTAATTTAAATAATTACGCCCACAAAATGTGACGCGCCTACCGAATTGCCTTCGTTTAATGCTTGAGTGAGAAAATTACCCCCCAAAAAGCCAGGCGGGAACTAATTTCAAAAGTTGGCTTTGCTTATGGCCTCACAAAGTGTTTTCCCCATTTCCCAGTTTTCCATTTAAGCATTTGCCAAACCGATTTTCGGTATTATTAAAGTTTTCCAATTCGCCAATTGTCGACAATGACGGTCTCTTATACCGCTGAGGTGGCAACTTGCAGTCACTTTGGCTGCTTTTGGAAGCTTTTGATCAGGTGAGAAGGACTAACAACGTTATCCTTTTTGTGGATATTATAATCCTAGATATTTCATAAAAATTCAGATGGCGTGCAAGTATTTACAAGATTATCTGGGTGGACCTACTGGCTTTCCTACTCTGCTTCTATGTTGTGGCCATCATCTATCGATATGCTTTGAATCCAAAGGATAAAGCGTAAGTGGGTCTAGGGACTTGTTTATAAAGAAAGGAGTTCTTTGGAAGATTTAAGGGGTTTAAAAAGCATTCTGTCTGATGCTTAAATTTAGTGACCATCCTGCTTTTCAGTTGCTAACCTTTCTTCTTAGTTACTTTGGGAAGTAGTCTTGATGTAGCTTTACAATCCCCACTATTCTATATCCTATATCTATATATTAACCTTTCTCTTCAGCTACTTTGAGGAGATTGTAATGTACTGCCATAGCTATGGCAACTTGATTCCACTCTCCTTTGTTCTGGGCTTTTATGTGGGCATTATAGTAGATCGTTGGTGGAGTCAATACATTACAGTGCCTTGGCCTGATCCTTTGGCTGTTTATGTGAGTGCCTTAGTACGTGGTCAGGATGAACATGGACGTCTAATGCGACGTACCATAATGCGTTATATGTGTTTGGCCTTAACTATGGTCTTAACCTTGATATCACCTGTGATCAAGCGACGTTTTCCCACTTATGATCAGCTGATTGAAGCTGGTCTTCTCAATGCCAATGAGGCAAATATTATCAGAGCCATGGATGCCAAGTTTCCAAAGCATCCCAAGTACTGGATGCCCATCATTTGGGCCAGCAGTATTGTTACCCGAGCCCGTAAAGAGGGTCGCATTTGGGATGATTTCTCCCTAAAGTCTATGATTGACGAGATGAATAAATTTCGAGCTGGTTGCAATATGTTGATACATTATGATACCATATCAGTGCCTTTGGTTTACACGCAGGTAAGGATTTAGACATTTTTTTCTAAAAAAAAAGTTCTTTTTACTAACAATCTTGTGCAGGTCGTTACCCTGGCTGTTTACACTTACTTTATAGCTGCTATTTTTGGTCATCAATGGATAGATCGAGAGTCAAGTAGTGGAATGTATAATAATATAGTTGATTATTACTTTCCACTATTCAGCACCTTGGAGTTCTTTTTCTTTATGGGTTGGCTGAAGGTGGCTGAAACCCTGATCTGTCCCTTTGGTGATGATGATGATGACTTTGAGCTGAATTGGCTGATTGATAGAAATCTGCAAGTTAGCTACTTGATTGTGGATGAAATGCACAACGATCATCCGCAGCTGGTGAGGGATCAGTACTGGGACGAGGTCTTCCCGAATGAACTACCCTATCTGGTGGAGGCCGAGAGAGCTGAGCATCCAGAGGCGTCCACTGCCAAACTTGGTCTTTCCAAACCCAAATCCATTAGCTCAAAGTCAACCAAAAGCGATGATGAATATTCGACTTATGGCGAGGAGGAGGAGGAAGGAGAAAATGAACTAAAGATTCGATTTGCCAAGCGTGACTTCAACTTTAGTCATAGCTCCGTTACGGTGTCAAGAACCACGGAAAAGTCGAGTCCTCCAACTGGTCATGACGATGAAGTAGATGATGAGGAACAGGATCTCGATAAGGATGACTTTGATCGTTTGCGTAAGGAACGTGAAAGGGAGCGTATGAATCGTCAGATTCAACATGCTGCTCTCACCTATGAGCTGATGAAGGATGAGATGGCCTCGAGCAAAGGATCAGAGCCAGGATCTGATCAAGGAATTCAAACGGTCAAGAGTTTTATCAGTCGGAAAAAGGCAGAAAGCACCGATGAAGAGGACAATGATAAGGATCAAAACGAAGAGAAAAAGAAATAGTTTTCAAATTAAATTTTATAATCATTTTAATATCTAGATAAATATTTATAAATGACCCCAAAACCCATTTTGTTATCTCATTAATTATGCCTCTGATATGTTCGATTTTGTGGTGTTTGTTGCGGAAGTTTCCTTTTCCTCCTCTGGAATAACTTCCTCGGAGGGAGGATGCAGCACTGTGATCTTGTAAGGAGCCCCAGAGGGAGCATATCGTAACTGGGTTGTCTTCATGTCCAGAAAACGATGACGCATACGATCTCTACGCTCCCGACGACGCTGCTCCATTAGCTCATTGAAATCAACTAAAGATCAAGTTAATACAGAATAATAATTATATAAATGTATACTAACTTGTGGATCGTGAAGATGGAACAGAGCTCTGAGGTTCCGATTGCTGCGATATAGTCGAGCCAGCACTAAAAGTAATCCGCGAAGGAGCCTCCGGAATGGTAAAGGAATCCGTGTAACTCCCACTGGCCGATGGTCTTCCCAGGAAGAGATTATAGAATTCCGGTAAACGAATACCACTGGGGGTAGATATTAATGATCCACGACGTTTCTGGAAAGAAAACATTAAACTACACAAGAGGATATAAAGTAGAAACCATACTTACCTTAGGGGGTTCCATGTGGGCAGTAGAAGCCTCCGGCGGATTGGTTCTCATGCCTTGGACATTGTAAGGCAGTTCATTTGGAAAAACTTGATCCCAATACTGATCCTTAACCAGTTCGGGATGTTCCTGATGCATTCCATCCACAATAAAGTATGACACGGTAATATTTCGATCGATAATCCAATTAAGCTAAGAAATTGTTACAGTTTTATTCCGAAAATATGGAAATAACTTACCTCAAAGTCATCATCGTCTTCGCCAAAGGGATTGATTAGGCTCTCGGCCACCTTAAGCCAACCCATGTAGAAGAAAAACTGTAGGAGTGTAAGGATGGGAAACCACTTAACCACATTAAATCCTCCCTCTGCCTTGGGTGCCTCTGTCCACTGTTGTCCCAATATATTGCATAGGAAAAAGAAAAACACAGCCAGGGTCACCACTTGGGTGTAAACCAAAGGAACACTGACCCAATCGTAGTATAGCAAAAAGCCACAATAACCACGAAATTTGTTCAATTCATCAATGATTGTCTTTACGGCATAATCATCCCGAATCTTATTCTCCCTTCTGGCACGCATCACTATACTGGCAGCCCAGACAATGGGCATCCAATGCTTCGGATACAAAGGAAATGCCAAATCCAGGGTAGCAATGATGCTTTTCTCGTTTTCCAACAAGAAACCAGCCTCAATTATCTGTTCATAGGTGGGAAAGCGACGCTTCACTCGAGGGGAAATCATAGTAAAGACTATAACCTGGCAGAGGCACACGTATCTCAAGATTGTTCGCCTCATGGCCCTGGCACGATCATCAAAGCCATGGATACTAGTGGAGACCAAAATGGCAATAGCATCTGGCCAAGGGATTGTTGAATATTGATCCCACCATCGTTTCATTACAATTGACACATAAAATCCCAGGACAAAGGACAAGGGAATTAGTGAAGCATTACTACCGCAATACAGGGCTATAGCCTCGAAGAATCTATAATATCAGAGATCAAATCAAATCAATTAAAATTCCAAGAAAAATCTATGCAATATACTCACTTTTTAGCCTCGTCATTAATTAGTAGACGATAGACAATGGCCAGTAAGACATATATTCCTAGAAACACTAGCAAATCACGCCAGACCAACTTGTAGATACTACCACGCCATCTTTAAACAATAAAATTTAATAGAAACAATCATAGGAAATTTACAAATTAAGACTTTTTTACTTACCTGACCAGCAAGCCTAGGAAATTATTTATAACACTCGAAGTGCTCACACTGGAGGTGTAAGTCACCGTCATTTTTGCACACTTTTAATACAAATTACATGAGTCCGATTTCGACGAGAGAACAAACTGTTCTGAATATATCTTTACAACTTGAGAAAGAGATTGATTAACACTTCAAAGGTTGCTAGATAGATTCAACCTTCTATAAACAAAATGTGTAAGTTTTCAGCTTTGAAAACTTATTTAAAAAAGCAACTCAAATAAACATAAATAATTCAGTTACACTTGTTCTTAGTACATTTAAAGAAAACATAATAAAAAGGGTGTGAAACCTGTCAGCTGGTTAAAACCAATTGCTTTCGAAATAAAGGCAATGGTTTTGATTAAAATGGTAAATATAATGTGTATTTTAAACTCGATCCACAACAAGTATACCTTTGATAATTTAATTTTTCCAGAACACCATTTTCCATTAACTTTGGAAAGGCGAAGCTTATATACACTTGCAGTTTGTAATAGAATTATAGGATTGTATTAGAAATCAATCACTAATAAGCTTAAAATTTTGAATTTTTTTTATTCTATATTTATCGATATTTTTATAACAAATTCTTTCATAAATCTGGTTTTAAAAAACACATAAATGAGCCAAAAAGCGGTCATTCAGAAAGCGGTTCTATGTTAGATTTTATTGGGTTTAGAAATCTGGTTGGTTACCCAATAAAAATATTTAAAAAATTCAAATTTTTGTCAATTTTTTTAAATTTATAACAATGTAACCTCTTATACAATTTTGAAAAAAAATTTAAAAATTTATTTTTTGGCCAGACATGTCTATATCGATTCAGCTATTCCTGCTGATCAAGAATATATATGATTTAGAGGATCGGAAATGACTCCTTCACTGAGATGCAAGCTCCTAACTAATAATACCCTTCAAAAAGGGTATAAAAATGTGAAAAAATAACCATTGAAGTATCTGGCTGTCGAAATTATTTAGACTTCACCTCCTGAATGGTATTTATTAACCCTTTTCCGAGGCCTCCTGCTGAAAATTCGAATCGAAATTCATTGCTTCCTGTGACAAAGATTGCCTTTGATGCGTTAAGACAATACGTACATCAGTTTTGTGAATCATTTATAAGCCACAATACCCATGTGCCTGTGTCATGTCCCACAAAAGTCCTTCCTGACAGCGCAAAAACCACACGAAAAAATGGAGAATATCCGTGAAGCTCTCATTGTGCCTTCCATTATCATAACCAAACATGGGAAAATCTGACGCGAAGCGTGTTATTATTTTTTACACTTGACAGCATTTTTCCGCGCTGGAAAAATCGCGACAAAAAACCAAATGAAATTACATTCGCAGCAGCGACAGCGAAGAGACTGAAAACTATAACAAAATTGTATTATAAAACATATTTAATGCTCCCCGATTGAGGGCGACTGAAGGGTAAAGTAATTCCGATTCCATCCGCCACTTAACTCATTTGGGGCATTATTGGGATTCGGTTTGGTTTTTTCCGCACTTTTCCCCCCTTTGCTTTTGTGCTTTCCAATTTATAATTGCAGATCGATAAGTTTGCATTAAAGCGGTAGTGCTTTTTCGCAGCCGAGATATAGCAATAAGCAGCAAGTGTGCAAGAGGGAAATGGAGAAATAACCGACTTAAAGGATATACTTTTCAAAAGAATATTTAATTTTGATTTTAAATTCAATACTTGCCTTAAGACTTTAAGAAAATGTATTATTTTAATTAATATACAAACAGAAACCAACTTTTCCAGACTAATAAAGAATCATAAGTCTCTTTCTGAATTTCGTTAACCAATTTAAATCAAAGATATGTCTCCTCTGGCTTATTTTTATAAAAGACAATTAACCAACTTTAGGGATATATTTACTTTTCAACAGAATATTTCATTTTGATTATAAATAAAATATGTTCCTTGAAAGTTTTATATATTATATCATTCAAATTAATATAATATATAAGTTAGTTAAATCTTTTTTAAGTTATTTCAATTAAAGAGTAATAACTGAATTTAAGGATATACTAGAAAATTTAATGTTTCCTTTGAACTAAATATATTTTCTAAGACTTAAATGAACATTAATTAAATTAAATAAACATATGCATGAATTTTTTGACTTGGCAACTAAATTCTTTCAGAATTTCATGAACCTACATAAGTCTCTTTGAACTTATTTCAATAAAAGAATATTAAATGAGTTTAAAACAACGTTATAGTAAATTTTTTGAATAGGAAAAGAAACTATATTTCTTGACTATCCATTTTAAAACCTTAATAGGGGTTCTCTAACTTCTTTTAATAAAATAAATATCCTTTACATTTAGTTTTACTAACCATTTTAAAACCTTCATAATTCTGTGCTACCTTCTGTCATAACAAGAATATTCCTCTATATAACATATCAATCCCATTTAATTCCTATAAACTAATATATATCCAATAATATATCCTATACACTTTAATATATTTAATTAAATATGGCAACAAAACGGGTCGCAAGCTAATTGGCCAACCCGATCTGCAATTTGTTGATTTTAGCCCCGGCCAAAGGCCGCAACCAATTCGCTTATGCCCCGTGTCCTCGGCAACAATTCAGGCAGGATATGTGGCCATAAATATTTCATATTTGCACAACGCGTAGTTTGTGTTTTGTCGCCTGCTGCTCCTGATTGATGACGCGGTCGAGGATTGCAGATGCGCATTTTTGTGTCGTTCTCGTTCTCGTTCTCGTTCTCATACAACCAAAAAAAAATAAAGGGGTTAATTTAATTTCGCGCTTCGGCGAATTTGTCCATAATTGGCAATTAGCATTGACCATTGCCATATCCATGTTCGTTCATCGGAGCCATGGCAATCATCGCTCCGCTTCGTTCTGGCCATCATCTCACACGGTCAACTTAACTTACGGCATGGCCAGTACAGCTCCGTTTGCCTTTCTGCAATTTGCCCAATGGCAACAAATATTTGTACGATGGTTCAACAACCCCCCTTTTCGGTCCTTGTTGTTTTTTGTGACAATTTTTCAAAAATAAAAAAAACACAGAGAGAGAGAGAGAAAAATGCAAATAAAATACTGCAGGATTTATTGAGGCGTTGAAACAATAATCATCGAGTCGATCTTCCTGAACTTTTATTCACAGTGAGCGGTAAATTAATAGAAGCAATTGTAAATTATTTAATTTGATAACGTCTTTATTGGAGTATGATTTTTTTTTCTAAGTAATAAATTTAATATAAATAAATACTATGAAATTATTTATAATTTCAAAATATTAATTAAATAGAAAAATGGCATACTTGAATTTATGTAAATGCAATTCTTTCTAATCTTTTTATGATGCATAATAATAATAAATAGGTTCCAGTACCTATTTATGTTATTTTCAATTTTAAGTGATAAATATACTGAAAAAAATTAACATAAAATTATAAACTTTAAAAGGAAACAAACAATGAATACTTTTATTGAAAATTGTATTATGAAAATCTCTCAAAAATAAAGGTATTTTAAAACAAATTTAAATAGGGTTTCAAACAAAAATGCTCTCGTTTTACAGTATATATATATTATGTAGATAACTATATAAGATAAATTATGATAAATATTTTTTGGTATTATATATTTAGATATATGTATATATATATATATATTCTCCCCCATTACTATTTCTGATTACATTACCCCAATTGCAGCTGCTCTACCTCGTTAATTGCAACACAGTCATGGAAAATCGCATTTAATGCAAACTTTTTTTTCTCTTCCCTTTGGTTTAAGGATTTCCCTTGCAATTTTCACACAATTTTTCAAAGTCAATTTTGCTTGATTTTTAATGCGACCATTGGGAGGACACATTAGGTATTTTGTTGTATTATTTCTATGCTATCCTCTCTCTATCCTCACTTGATTAGGAATGATGAGGGTTTGGGTCCGAAATAGAGGAGGCTGAAAGGCATTCAACAAGCGGAAATTGATGCGAATTTCCCCTCAGGTAGGGGTTGTGTTGGAAATTGTGTAACCCCCGGGAATCATACCGTAATTCCTTGAAATATTAAAATCTATTTTTTTTTAGAGTTAACCCTGATTTCCTGGTGGAGAAAGGATGAGGTCCAGGTGGAGCTTATTTACATTTTATGGTGATAATTTAAATTTAAATATATAATGTTGGATAAGGGTTTGGGATTTTAATGGAAATGGGAATTAAATTTGTATATATTTTGCATAAAAAAAATGAAATTGTTGTATTATATTTATGTTTAAAGTATAGAATTCAATATAGAACAGATATATTTCTTAGTTTTCTATATGCAAGAACATTATCCACATATAAAAATGATTTTAATTGAATGGTTCTTTTAATAGATATAATATCTACCAGGGATTACTAATAGAATATCCTTTAAAACTCTATCTATTAGGATAGAGCAAACCTTTCAAATCCCATACATTAACCTCTGCTTATTCCTCTTAATCCCTAACACTCCTTTTAAGGATACTTTTTGGCACCCGGAAAACTCCTTCTGTCCTTATTTCCACCTCATCCGTCACCAGAAATCTTGATTTGGTATAAAGAAACCCCAACAGCTTTATAGATTAGATTGTTTTTCCACAGAAACAGAAAACCCTTCGACTAATCTTTAACCCAATCGGACCAAGGCCAGGCCAAGATTGCATTTTAGGACATCTTTGGACATTATCATTTCCGGCCATCTTTGACTTTCATTTAAGCCCGGGCTAATGTCCATCATCCAACCTTTTCTCTCTTTTTTTCCCCTCACATTTTTGTTGGAAGGTTTTCCAGTCCGATTTTTGTTTGTTAGACAGCTAATTATGTGACAGCCTATTAGCAACTCGATAAATATGTGCCCAGCGGAGGCTCCGTGAAAATCCTGTCCAGGAAAAGTTTCCTTTTTGGTGGATGGGAGGGATTCTATTCCATTCATTAGATATGCGAACCTTGCTCCCGGCCTGATTATGACAAAGCACTTTTGGCCCAATTGGGTAAATTAGGTGGAAACTGAAAACTAAATGAAACGGAACTTGGCACACGCCCCCCCCCAGTTTTCCGCTTTTCTTTTTTGGTCTCTCTAATTTTTAACCCAAACCAAAGCCGGAAAAAGGGG